AATGGGGAGAGAGAGCCCACCTACAAATTTAGGTTTGGTCAAAATTAGGCAACTGTTGAGTCAACAATAGAGGTCGAATTTTTCCCCCGAAAAGAATGATTTTGTTTTGAATTTTTTGCTTGTCTTCTTTGAATTTTTTGGTAAACCGGGCTATCAATTAGAGGGCGTCGAGCTACAAGATTTCCAGGAATAAAAGTTGCTTCCCACTTGAGAAATTCATCATTACTGTTACCCTCAACCGGAGGGTGACACTATTTATTAAATTGAATAATTTTAATTTTTGAGGGGTGGTGAGATGGAGCCTGAGTTGAAATGGGCCGGTCGGTGGTCAAAAATAAATATTTCATTCATATCTCGATATAATACATCAGAGATTCAAAATAAAGCAAATCCCAAACGGCAAAGTAGTACGTTAAAGCGCAAACTGTTAGGATAAGCACATTCTCATCTCATAAGAACAAATCTATATCAACATCAAAACAAAATGAACGGCGATCAATAATCGAATATTGCGCTATCATAAATGATGAGCACACACAGTAATCTCCTTCTCCAATAGTTATGGGTTGCCTAGTGGGCGGCGCACACTTAAAGTTCAGTATTCTCAACACCGTCACCGTCCGAAGATACCAAAAACAATTTGAACAGGCTCCCAAATCTATATCTAAATTGAGAGAAATTGAACGAACACAAAAAGGCCTCTAAAAAACTCCAAAATCTAAATCTAGAACATGAGGGAATAGCTCCCAGATCTAAATCTAGATTAGGAGACGAGAGCTTTCAAAACTTGAAGAAATCGTGTAATCGCTTCCGATGCGGTTTGTAATCTAAAAAGAAAATTGTTTTCCTTTCTCGAAGGATGGTACTTCAACTGCCAACCTCTGCCTCCGCCTCGGGTGGTGGATTAATGAACAATCGGCCGCGTCACCGCAATAGCGATAGATGGTTAACCTTCCTTTATATCTCAATAAAGATAAAAAAGATAAAGGTAGGTAGCGAAAAGGCGTAGCCAAAGAATAAGCTTTTTCCAATATTCGCAATCCCTTTTTTTTACATTAAGCAATCTTATCCTTATTCCCCCACCACAAAAAAAGATGTGTCTTCGGTTGACAAAGTAACTTTTATCCAACATAACAAAAGGAAAAAAATATAATTAAAATCTATCAAAATAGTGATACAAGTTAGATCTAGTGGCCTAAGGTACTTTGGTGAGTACTTTGGCATGCTTAGGAATGAGTGGATGCTATAATCGGAAAAAAAAAATAGTTAAATCAAGAGTTTTGAATAACCAATTATTATCAAGTACGCAACTACTTATATCGTATCGCCTTTTAATACCTTATAATCACCCGTGATCGCGGATTTTTAATTACTCCCAAAGCAGGGCATTTTCGTCCATCCAAATCAATAATCTTTTGAAAAAAATTCTAATTGCTTTTTTTTTTTGGCGAATCCTTTGGGAGGAAAATAGTCACTATTTTTCCGCCAAAACTTTGAGCCTATTATTTGGTTTAAAGAAAAATACGAAGCAGTCACATGTGAATTGACGCCAATCTTTTAATGTTTTAGATGTTTTGCGTGCTTTGCATTAAATAAAAGTCAAATTGGAATAGTTGCAATGGTACAATGTTAAAAAGTAAAATGATTAATATCACGAAAAATCTCAAATTAGTACACTTATCACAAATTTACCCCAAACTAATTTTTTTATCACAAAAACTCCAAACAGGTACATTTGTGATAAATTTATCCTTCATTAAATTGGATTAATATCGTGAAAAATCAAAAACTGGTCAGTTGTGACAAACGGAGGATAAAACTCCAAACTGGTATACTCGTTAACTGCTACGTGTTATCCAACTCATAAATTTGACTGTTAAAATTTAACGGAAACTAATTAAAGGTAAAATTGTTACAGGTATATCAATTTGGGGAGTTTTTTGTGGTATTGAGTCAAAGTAAAAGCCGTCATGTTAATTTCTTTTTTTTTTTTTTTGGCTAAGCAAAAACCATTATACTATCGAGAAGAACTTGCGGAAGCAATCCTTAAAGCGCAGTAATTTGCTAAAAAAGCCACACAAAAAAAAAGCCTAAGCAAGAAGGAAAGAGGGAATTTTTTTTTAAAAAAAAGTCGACTGTGGCATTAGTCTTGTTTAGTACTGCTTCTTTGCAACATAATTTATGTAATTTCCTTAATTATTAAGGAAATTTTACAAAGCGATGCTTTCTTGCGCTGCGAAAAGCATGGGAATGCGTAGTACGCACTCCGCTTATTCCAGAATAAAGCGGTCTCGTCTTGATTTTACACGCACAAAGCAAAAGTAAGTCCCCTCCCCAAAAAGCCCAACCACAAAAGTTCGCCACTTGAGTTGAGAAAACTATTTGGTTTTCGTGTTCAATAAAATATGAAAGTGGAAATATTTCTTCCATGCTTTATTTAATTTTTGAAAACTTGCTTGATGAATAAAATTGATAATTTTCTATGCTTTCTATTAGAGAATAGAATTGATAATTTTTCTTAAGGAATTAAAAAGGGATAATGACATAAATAATCCATGAATTTTAACACAATGCGTAATGTGGTTCATGAACTTTTGATTTGTTCGATGTGGTTCATGAACCTTAACCCGATGTGTAATGCGGTCTCTGAACTTTTAATTTGTTCAATGTGATTCATGAACTTTTGGTTTTGTTTTTCAATTTTAGTCTTTGAACCGTATGAAAATAGTTATTATTATTTTTCCATTAATTTAAGTTTAGTGACAACAATAAACATTTTTATATAGTTCAGAGACTAAATTGAACACGTACCAAAAGTCAATGGATCAAAACAAAAGTTTTATAAAAAGTGTTGGCAGAAGAAACCAATTTTCTCTGTCATAAATTTTTTCTTTTGTATTCCCAAATCAAGATAAAATTCTTTTTTTTACTTTGTCATCCGGCCTCCTATGCTTTGAGTGGTGCTGAAGATCAAACTTTTCAGTACTTTATGTCATTAAGTGCATTGGATAACCACTAATTACACACAACTCAATTGATTTTTTTAAAGTAAAAAATCACTTAATGTGGTAAGTAAGAATGGCATCCTTGATTCGTTAAGTTATGTACAATATAAAGTAAAATCCTAATTTCGACCAAAAAAAAAGTAAAATCTTACTAATTATATTGTCAAAACATTCCAATAATGCTCACTGTTTCATGTTTGGTAGAAAAACGATTGATTGTAATCCGCCGTCAAACAACTCTCCAATTTCATTTACAGTACTCGAAGACTTCATCAATTAATATTTAATAATTAATTTTTCGGCATTCAGTTCTCCTTCAATCTTACTATATCTGCATTATCCAAGTTTTTTATGCATTGCAAAGTATTAACAGATTCACTGAAAATAACCTGTAACCATGTTTGAGAGTTTAAGTGTGGGGAGTGATTTTTTTTACCTTTTATTTTCATAGCATTTGAAATTTAATTGTTATTTACCATTGAACTGTGATCATTTTAGAACATATAAATATTAAGAGATAAGTGTATTGGAAGTCCTAAACTTGTCGCGAAAATGCAATTGAGTCCTAAAACTTTCAAAAAGCGCAATCGAGTCTTAAAATTTATCATGAAAGTTTAATCAAGTTCTAAAATTTTAAAAAAAGTGCAATTAAGTCTTAAAACTTTCAAAAAGTGCAATCAACGGAAGGACTAGGTTGGATCAATCTGACAAGTTTGAGGACTTGATTGTACTTTTTGAAAAGTTTTAGGACTTAATTGCATTTTTGAAAGTTTCGGCACTCAATTGACAAGATTTAGGAAGTTCAGTGCATTTATTCCAAATATTAAATATATATATAATTTTAGGAGATTGCAATTGTTAAAGAAATTTCCTTTTGCTTTTAAAATTTGGGGGGGAAGTAAAAATTATTTTTAAAAAAAAGCCAGGACAAGGATAAAGGGTCTCTATATCTATGTTCACATTTAATGTAATGGTGATCGGTTCCGAGGTTACCACCTTGGAATTTGAAACCGGACCAGAAGAGGCGATTCCTAGTTCGTGGAACTACAAATTGGCTCATTGTATTAAATGACGTGAAATATCACCTCAAACAAAGTTGCTTATGATGTCTTCATGACTATATTTGCTATGCTAGCATTGGCACATGCATTGTGTGAGAAATTTCAACTGCATTGCGATGCACATATTAAGATGCTTCAAAAAGAAAAAGAGTTAATACCACAAAAAATCCTAAACTGGTGTAGTCGTGATAAATTTACCCAAATTAATTCTTTGACTATCAAAAATCTCAAACTAGTACACAAAGTTATTCTTCATCAATTTCCGTTTAATTTTACTACCAAATTATTGAGTTGGATGACTCTTGGCAGTTGACAAGTGTTCCAATTTAGGGTTTTAGCCATCTGTTTGTTGTAGATTTACCAATTTATAATTTTTTGTAGTATTAGTCCAATTTAACGGATGGTAAATTTGTCACAAATGTACCAGTTTGGAGTTTTTGATGATAAAAAAATTAGTTTGGGGTATATTTATCACAAGTATACCAATTTAGTATTTTTTCGTGATAAAAAAATTAGTTTATGGTAAATTTGTCATGAGTGTACCGGTTTAGGATTTTTCGTGATATCAATCCAAAAGAAAATATCAGAATAAATTCGCAGATAAATTTATAAATTGTCCCGTAGAAATCGCTTATCAGAACCGGTTCGGTTGGGGTGGCTTCCGGCTTAGATCTGGTTTTTTTTCCTCACCCCTAATTTAATGGGAAGCCGCAATCAATTGGTGTTGCGAATTTCCGTCAGAAAATTCCTTGCATTTTCCCCGGGAATAAAGGCACGCACACGGACGACGTGCCGCTAACGCCCACGACCGACACGTCACTCGTACTCCGTTAACAACGTTGGCGTCTCGCCGTTTTCCCCCCAAAACGACAGCCCCGTTTTTGCCCCGCCGTCCGAAACGACTTCACACACAGTCTCTCTCTCTCTCTCTCTCTCTCTCTCTCCCTGCAGCGAGAAGACGAACCAACCACACCTCACACTCCCTCGTATCTCAGTATTTTCTCTCTCTAGAAACCTCTCGCTTCTCTCTCTAGCTCCACAGCGTTCCGCCCTCGCCGGGCGACGCTTCGCTTCGCTTCGGTTCGGTCGCGTCGGGTGCTCCCTCTCGTTTCCCTGTGCGCGGAGATTCCAGCTTCTCGCGACGACCCGCGCGGTTCGATCGGACGTGCCCTTCCCATCTCGGCCTAATTCGTATGTTTCCGATGCGTGTCGTGTCCAATTGTGGGTTCTCCACCGATTTGTTTTCGTGGGTTTTTGTTTTCGTTTTCCGGAGCGAGAGGAATTGTTTTGACCCGCGATTCTCGTTCTCCGCCGCGTCCGTTTCGGATCCGTCCCGACCTGTCGAGCGCTTTAGCTCTCTCTTGCTAATTCGAGGTGGTTCTTTTCGAATTTGACTTGCTCCAAGTAGCCTTAAAAGTAGCAGATTTAGTCGATTCCGCTTGCTTTTTATACGTGTCTGGAGTATTTGTGGTAACCCCCCTTGTATTTTTTGTCTCGTGTCTTTTGTCTGTTCAGTAAATGGCGCTTGCACACCAGCCCTCGAACCAGAGTGCGTTCGTTTTTTTTTTCCTTTTGATGGTTCTCGTTGAAGTCTGATTACCCCTTTTTCTTTTTGTGAGTTTTCTCGGCCCTTTTGTTGATGGATTCGTAGAGTTGGTGTTGCGTCGCGGGGAGGTCGGCGGAAAAATTCATTTTGATCTGTGAATTTGGTCTTTTAGGACGACGTGGTAGCCGAGTTAATGAGACTTAAGTTCATTTATGGTTTCTGTAAAGGGTGAGCGATGATTTGATGATATGTTCACGAGTTTACTAGTTATGAACTAAAAAGGTAGTTTTGTATGGCTGTTAGATCTATTCTTGTGATGTTTATGCATTTGTTGGAGCATTAGTGTTTCCTTTCAGATGATTGATTACAGTTTTACTTGCCGTCCAGGTTGAAGTCGCTGCTTGCATGATTTGTAGGAGCAAGCATCGGGTATGATGCTGGTGAGACACATGGAGAAACGTTGCACAGATGAATTGTGAAGCTGTAGGCACTGCATATTTGAACAGTGCTGTCTGGCTACGATTACAGATTTTGATTTTGGTGCTTGTTAGAATGGGTTCAGCTTGCTGTGTTGCTGCTAGAGACAAAACTATCCCAGGTGGGCCAAGTAATGAATTCTTTCACCGAAATATACGGCACTCGCCAACATGGAGCTTTCGGTGGGAAAACCGAGGGCGTGTAGCGGGTGAAGAGGCTTCTGTAGGTTGGTTTTCTGATGGCATCAGCCAAAATAATCACCTAGATGTCAAGTACGAAAGTGCTTATGCATCAGAGGATGGAAGTTCTTTGGATAGTTCCCATAGACCACCATGGCCTAAGTCTCCATTTTCTGAAGGGACTGCTAGACTTGCGAGAACTGCTGGTTCAGGTAGACAGTTGCTTTAATCTTCATTATTGTTTTCTAAACCAGAGAATTTTCTCTGAAAAGTCTATCATCAATAGCGTGTATGGGTATGTGTATGTGATATGCATGTCAATAAGTTTGTTTTAGCAGTCTTCTGCCTATAATAACGATAACAGAGTTTGTTTAGGCAGTTCAGGTGGTGAGCTTATATTGGTTATACAATGTGTGTCTCAGGTTGAGATTTGTTTTCCACCATTATTTAGCCACTTTCTTGCACACTTACCACCTTTTATGAATTTAACTGCATTTTGATTTATACCTTCAGATAGTTCTATTGGTTAGCTGGTGCACTGCTTGTTGATTTTGACTACTAGACAGAAAAAATTGTATGTCGCTCTATGAAATCTTTCTTGTGAGAAAAAGAAATCCAGGCCCTAATTTTTACGTGAATATAGAGCAGTATGGATTTTTTTCTTGAGAAGATTAAAAAACGAGAGTAAGAGAACCAAGAGGAAGAATGCCATGCTTTATCTTTACAATTTTAGTATCCTCATATCGATTTTATTTTTGTAACAAGTGGCATTTAAATTGCTAGGGCAATTCTGGTTTAGTTGCACGGCGTATAGGTGGTTTTTGTGGCCCTAAGTGCCAGTGTTGTGGTTAAAGGCGTTTGCTGATAACAGAAAGCAAAATATTTCACTATTATCTTGCCATTCCTATTTTTCAATAAAATCAAGATTGGCTAAGATGTGGGCATCTTGAGGGTGCCATCTTTCAGCGCATTTGTTGTAGAGAGAAATAGTGATAATTTCAGTTTAGTCACTGTTCACACTCTCTTCATTTATTCAGATTGTATAATTGATTTGAAGGGCAATAATGAAAAAAACTTTTGAGGGAGCATGAAGCAATTGGTATTCTAGTGAGGTGGAATGAAGTTAAAAGGCAGTCTTAAAATGAGAAGGCCTTTTCATACTGTATGAAGGATGGGCTTAGTTTTTGAACTTTGTAAGTGCACCTGAGGGATAACATCTAATAAGTACCTGATTTGTGTCAATACACCATTTTCATGGTATCTCATATTTACGCCTTAAATATTGGAGTTTTTGAGTGAGCACCTGCTGTCTAAGAGATGACTGCATATGTAGCAGGACATGGCCTGCCTGGGGTCATATAGTTGCCAAATTATGATCATTGCTGAGGTGGTGAACATCTGCATTGTGATTCCATCCTTAAGTTGTTTCTCAAAAGTTTATTTAGAACCTGTTCGACTGTTTTGACTTTGTGGTATAGTTGGCCAGCCAACACAATTAACCGTTCTATTTGCTCTAATAATATCCATTCATGATCGGATTCTCTTGTTTGGTTTCCTCAGTTTCTCATCCTTTTCTGCTTCTCTGCACCTTTGTGGTGTAGTTGTATGAGATCTTTGGGTGTTTTCTTAGTTGTGTCAACAAGTTGTTGGTGATAAGATAAGAATTAATTTTGTTAGTAGATCTAGATAAGTAGGACCGTTTTAGGTCAGGCCAAAAGATTCAAGACTTAGATGGTTTGATCACATTTAGGAATATTGACTAAAGTCATAGTTGTTATGCAAGCCCTTTCCCTGCTGAAGGGAAAAAATGAGGGTCGTTACTGAAAAGAGCACTGCTTATGGTTATTATCTATAAATTTGCAAAATTAGATCTCCTTATTCACTTGTTTTTATACTGTATGATTTGCTTTTGTAGTTTTAACGTATTGTTGGATATCCTTATTAAGCTTACACTCTCTAGCGTGTATCGCAGATCAATCTATTTCACACAACGTCTCGTTGGATGTGAATTTGGAGCAGGTAAATGTAAATCCACAGAATTTCCATTTTAATGCTTTCCGTAAATGTGTATGAACTGTTCTTGGGTGTTTTAGGCGGACTCCAGAGAATCTCCAGCTTATTTGTGTCCATCCCCTACAAAAATTTCGCACTCTTCCTTACCCTCAGCTTCGTCCCCATTGCCGTCATCCTCCCAAATTCATCTGCTGCCAGCTAGTTTAACTCCATCAAGACAATCCAGTCCTTCAGCAAAACAACCTTCACAGCAGAGATCTGACAATAAACTTCAAGGGAGTAAGTCACCAAGCAGTCAGTTGGATGCTGAAGAAAGGCCAGGGATCCCTTCCTGGAGCAATGATTCAACTAGGGGTTCCTATGGTGGGTCTTCAGATGGGTGGTCTGTCAATGCCTTTTCAGAACTTGTGGCTACTTCTCGCCAGGGTAGTTGGTCTTTTGATGGTGAACCTGTGGGCTTGAAGCGTGAGAAGATAACCAAACGAAGTAGTCAAACTTCTGCTGATCAGCAAACCTGTGGAGTTTGCACGAAGTCGTTGACTGAGAAATCATCATGGAGCGCCCAGAAGATAATCGCTAACAATGAGCTTTCTGTTGTGGCTGTTTTAATGTGTGGTCACATTTATCATGCTGAATGTTTGGAGATTATGACACCAGATATCGACAAGTATGATCCCACTTGCCCCATCTGTACTTTCGGGGTGAAGCAGACCCTTAAGATGTCTGAAAAAGCATTAAAAGCGGAAATGGATTCGAAAATCAAAAAGGGAAAGAGATCAAGAAATCAAGTGGTGGATAGTGATGTTGGTGGTGATTATGTGTATGATCGAATAAAAAGTAGCGGAAGTGATGTGAAGAGTTCTAGGGCGGGCTCCAGTTCAGTCATGAGAAGCTCCTCGGGGAAGCCTTTCTTGAGTCGCCACTTCTCCTTTGGATCAAAGGGGAGTAGGTCCCTGAAAGAGAATCATTCTACCCGAAAAAAGGGATTCTTCTGGACAAAATCTAGCAAGGAATGATCTTGTTTAGCTCCAATGAGGTGAGATTGAATAGACTTTCGTTGAAAGGATTAATTCTTCTTCTCTGTTTGTGTCAAATATATATTTTTTAATGTATGTGAACTTTGCTCAAAGTAGATGGTAGGTATTTAAAGTAGAAAATGAGGAAATGGAGCTTGATTGTTTCCATGTGGAAGTAACTGATAAAAAACAAGTTACTTCCTTGGGTTCCTATTTATGAGATTGAGCAACGAAATACTTGTAGAGATTGTGAAAAAAAAAAAAATTCTTATGAATTAAGAGGATAGAGATAGTCATCATACTGACATATACAGTAACTTTGATAGATATCCGTTTGAATTTCATGATTGTAGATGTGTTTAGATGCATCTTTAAGGTTTATTCACACATGAAAATAAATGCAACTTACACGTGTAAGTTATCTTTGGAATTTTAAAACACTTAAAGTGAGTTTGCTGGTTTCTAGGATATGATGCTTATTCTTGTGAAATTGAAGTAGGATCACTGAAATAGGTGGCTTCTGAATACATGCTATGTGCTTAGCCAGAAGACAAAATAATTATTTTGTAATTACAACCACAAACAGTACCGATCAGTCCCATGCTTTTATTTTAGGTGACAAACTTGGTGTTAACCAGCACATCGACTGAACTCGGAAAGTTGCTGCTTGGCTCATGCATGCCCGTGTTGAAAGTGGCTTTAATTTGTATTTACTTGTGATTTCTGATCCTGTTTTACCCATGCAGAATTTTCATGACAATCTCAGTCAGATAAAGGATTGCAGAGAATTCCATTTAGGTTCGATTGAAGACGAGTTGTCTGTATACACAGAAATTGTCACATTAATTTGCTGTGGTTCTACACTGTACAGGAATCAAAAGCGAAAGGAATATGTAGAAGGGTAAAAATAGAACAGCCAAAAAGGGAAATTTGGTAGGTTGAAGGCACATATGTGCTTCTCCTAGCTTATTCTGTATAAGTTCTGGTTGATTTCTATATTGATTGATAATATGAAATGATATAGAATCAGATCAAGTTATGTGAGATTGTTGTTTTTGAGTCCAAGGTCTGCCTACATGCATATATGCGGCGGCTTGGTGATGGATAGTGTTGTATCTAGATTTGCAACCTACTATCATTGTCAATATATCAATTGTTTGGCTTTGGGAAATGTTCAACCTCTGGAAAGAAAAGGAGAAGTTTAGTCATTAGTGGAAATTCTTAACCCCGGAACTAGCATGAAATGAGCGGTCTTTGTCAAACGATGGACGATCACCCTAATAGAATCGTGATTTCGTTCGGCTCGGCTCGGGGTTGGCCTTGAACGAAGTTCCCATTTCCATTTAGGAACTTCCAAAGGATTGAGAGTGCCTCCTGGCTTTTGGCGTTCAGCTCTGACCTGTCGACATGAAAATGGGCTATATCGCTTCTCATGCCATTCCACCTATAATGCTGCCGGCGGGGGTTTGGATAAATCTTGGTGCTCCAGGGGCCAATGCTGTAAGAGATAGGATGAGCTTCCGTCGGAACTTCATTTTGCAAGTCCTTGTTTCTTGGCAAGCATATTCTTCTGTGAATTCTGTTCGTTTTTGTCATCAGAATTTCGAAAATCGGGCCTCTTCCCCTTATCAGTCTCTTCCTTAAGCTTCTCCGTCTCAGGATCATTACATCGTAACTCCTTTACTCTCCCGCACGAGTACGGGTTTGATATGGCGGGTTGCTAAAAGAACGGATGGGTCGCTAAAAGAACCGATGAGTCGCGCCAATTTAACTTGAATTGTGAGTCTCGTGCCTCTTCAAGCAACTCCCACTTCTTGATCATTAAGTGAGCAAGGGAACCTCTGGTTATGGGACCGAGAGCATTGGCCGCGATATTTGCTTTTTCGGAATGATAGAGAATCTCACGGTCATAATCATTTAATGGCTGAATCCAACAGCATTGATGCATGTTGAGCTCCTTCTGAGGCTCTTGTGGTCGGTAAAAGTTTCGAACGTCTTGCCATAGGGATAATGTCTCCAGATTTTCGAGGTGAAAACTACTGACACGATGCATTCGGTGTTTTAAATCATGAGACTGCAGATGTATTGAGGCGTAAGCTACGACTCTGCCATGTTGCATAAGCATGAATCCAAAGGGCTAATTCAAAAAAAAAGCATCGACTTTGCTTTAAATGACAATTCTGGGTCGAATTTTTTTTGTCTTAATAGAAATCACTAACTTTCACTTGAGTTCCAAATCTAGCCTCGTTAACCAAAGCTCGAGATATTGTAGATTGTTATAAGCATTGTAGCATGACACAGCTTTAGAATCTCCTTTATAATACTTCCCAACAAAATCAATGTCCATCACTAGAGCCCAATATATTAAATGAGATCAATTTTATGTTCATTCGACATAGACTTTGAAGTTTCAGGGAGAGGGCTTAGGCTTGTTTTAGAAAAAAAAGGTTCTGATCGTGAGTTTGGTAGATCTCGTCCATGGAAAATCTCGACGGGTAGTGGTCCACAACTTCAGATTACAACGAAATGGTATAGGCTGACTAGAGAGATTCAATCTTGAGATATTTTTTACTTGCCATTGAAGCGAAAGAGACCATGAACAACTGAAGACCATGAATAGTGCTTTAAATTCTAACTAACAAGCGACGTGTATTTATTGCTGAGCTGGAATAGTTACGTCGGACAATTAACTATTCTAAGTTAACCGGGTCAGATTTGGTATTTAAGTTAAAGTTGGTAATTTTTTATGAGAAAAAAAGATTCGAGTCAAGATTGTCACTCAAGCTAAAGTTAATACTTTTTTTTGGAATTAAGCCCATTCTAAGTCCTTACGAGAGGCATCACTGTAAATCACGAATTCGCCAAATCCAGATGGTAATGTCAAAAAATGGGTGCGGTTGTCAACCTACACTTGAGCCTTTGGAAGCTTCGCTCTCACTAATCTTTCCATTCCAACTTGACGTTCTTCCTTTGCCAGCTTGGTCAGAGGCGCAGCGATTAATGAGAATTCTCCCATGAAACGTTGATATCCGGCCAAACCAAGGAAGCTTCTAATCCTGAAGAAGCGGGGCTTGGCCAATTAATTAAACAAGGATTCCATCTCTGCCGTGTGTACTAGGATGCCTCACCGGTGACCAAGTGTCCGAGAAATATTACGCGATCAAGTCAGAAGTTGCATTTATTCGACTGGGCATAAAGCTTGTGCGCCCGTGAGGGTTTGAAGGACGAGCCTTGGTATGACTCATGCTTTACAGGGGTCTTAGAGTAACCTGAGTACTGGCAACACGAAGACAATCACAAATTTGATCTAGAAACGGTCGGAACACACAGATTTATCAAGTCCATGAAGGCCGCAGGCATGCTCTAAATCGAACAGCATAACCAAGAACTCACAGTGACCATATCGCTCCTTAAGGTGGTTCTCGGAATGTCCTCCTTTTTTGTGTGAAGTTGGTGATATCTGGATCGAAGATTTGTTCCTTGAGAACATCGGAGCTCCTTGCAACTTATCGAATAAATCATCAACCCTCTCGGCAACGGATACTTGTCCTTGATAGTGACTTCATTCTCTTTTTCATGAAAAGCATTGGGGCTCCCCCATGGCAATGCATTCGGTCGAATGAAGCCCTTGTCCAACAATTCGTGCAATTGGACCTTCAACTCCTTAAATCCCGTAATAGTAATGCGCTTTAGAGACCGATTCGGTTCTTGTAGCTAATTCGATGGTGAGTTTGATCTCACGTTTGGGCGGTAATCCAGGAAGAACTTATGGAAATACGTTGGGAACTCGCAAGTTACAGGGATCTTTTCGAGTTTCGGCTCCTTCTGAGCTTGATCGACCCCATTGCAAAATATCCATATCCCCGTTTTTAAGGAGATTGAACGTTCGGAACAGCAACCTCAGTCTTCTGCTTACTAAAATATGTAACTAGGACCTCCAGGAGGATTTAATTGGATCAGCTTCCAGGAGCAAACGAGTCAGTGTGCCGAGTGCGAATCTAATCCATTCCCAAGATAACATCGAAGTCCATCATGCCTAAGAGGGTTAGGTCTGCACAAGATCACTGGGACGCCACATTCGACTCGCAAGATTTGCTCATCATATTTTAATATCATCATGCTTCCCATCGGGGTAGACGCTTAGAGTGAAGGATCCTGGGGCTCGCATGGCAGATCAAACATATGCGCGAAACAGAGGAGATAAAATGTGAGTAGCACCAGCGTTGAATAACGATGAACTTTGATGTTCCGAAGGGAAACATTCCCTCGAACATTACATCATCTTAATACATATCTTAAGAACAGAAGGGCTAGAGGTTACCGCGACATTCCTAACTCTCTTGTTCCTAAGGGTTAGCTGCTATGACAGTGTTAGAGGTCTCAGCCTCCTCTGGAGTCAAAGCATAAACTTGGTCTTGAGCAGGTGGTCTTTCGACATTCCCTTGTGGCACTCGAGGCCGATGAGAGGGTTGGGAAGCTTGTGGATGCGGCGGCTGATGCTGGGGTCGGTTCCTCTGCTGCCAGCAAACCCTCAAGCTACCGCACTTGAGGCAAGCACCAGTAACCCAAGACAGGGATTCACGCCACGGTTGACTCGACATTTCTTGCATTGGCCCAGCGCAGGCAGGGCATTCAGAGTCCTTGAATGAGGGGCAGGTCGAAACTTAGCTTTACCATTTCTCTTCCGATCACGGTAGATGAATCTTGAATTGTCCAGAATGATTTCTTATCGCAATGATGTTACGAGCTTGAGGATATTGTTGGGGCTAAATGGGATTGCTTATTGTCTCGGTCAAGTCCTTGACAAGTTAAGCATGTTCATTAAGATCGTCACAGACAATTAAGGTTTAACAGCACTGGCTTGCTCCTGATCTCGGGGTGCAACCCATCTTGAAACTTATTCATGTAATCTTCCAGATCCTTGATCAAACGAGGCGCGAATCGGGATAACTCAGCAAACTTTGCTTCATACTGATCCACGGTCATCCCCTCTTGCTTAAAGTTCACAAATTCAGCAATCTTTCGGTCTCGAGCACAAGCCGAGAAGTACTTGCTAAAGAAGGCTTTGGAAAACCCTACCCAAGTGGGGTTGGCGGGAAATGGGAAAAGCCGATGACTGGACGCCCTCCACCGATGGTAAGCTTTCCCATCAAGTTCATACTCAGCTAGCGTATCTTCTCGACCACCTCACGATCCTGCAGTGCAAAAGATCCTCTCCATCCCGTCGATCCACTGCTCAGTCAAATTAGGGTCTCCAGAGCCAATGAACCAAGGAGGATGGACCATTCAGGAATTGCTCCACCAATTCCTTCTGCACAAGAGCAGTCTTCGCCATGGCGATAGAGAAAAGCTTACCCTTGGCGTCGCGCTTTTTGGCTCATGAGATTCCTGACATTCTCCGAAGCTGCAAGGTTCCATCCATGCGGGGATCCGAGTTTGAGCTCGACACAGCTTCGGGGGTAGTTTTGGATCCGGAGTGCAGTTCATGGTCACTTGCTTCCCATAACCAATTTCTCATCAATCTACTTCTTTATAACGAGTTTTAATGCTAATCCAGGCTTTCCAAATCAACTTAGGATGCATTACTCATGTGACAATCAAATGTAATGCCTGTGGCTCAACCAAGTCACCAATGCAATCAAGTAAAACATGCTAGGATTATCAAAACAGCTTCCCTACCAGTGGGGTGTAGTGCAGCTCAAGCAATTCAATCAGATCTATCAAAACAGCAGAGTTCAATCACAAATACATGCATTTAGTCCTCCTATGATAAGAATTGCTCCCGTAACTTCCGTTCTAACTCATCTTATAAATCCTTAGAATCTTAAGCTCTGATACCGGACTGATATGATGCGCCAAGATCTCGAGGTGAAGCTCGGATTGATCGAGAAACGTGAAGATGTGACGTATGGAGGAGAGAGAACCATCTTCGAAATGAAGGACCTTATAATTCTCTTTAAAAAGAAACTTGAACAGTTAGGTTTTATGAAACTTGGTACTGAAGCAACTCTCAGACTCTACTTGTAAACTTGACTTAAACAATGAAATGAGTCATAAAAACTCGAAGGGCACCTTTCGAGATGAGAAAATTCATGAAAGTTGCTCCTTAATTTAAAACTTCTACGACGTCCAAAGTTCTGGTTTAAAGCATTGGATTCTCAATCTATGAGGCATCATGTTCGGTCCAGAGTAGTTCGGGCTAATTCGCCAATACTTTTTTAAAACTTTTTTTCTAAGAGAACATTATTAATTAGGGATAATGACATAAATGGCCCATAAACTTTGATTCAATGTGCAATGTGGTTCCTTAACTTTTAATTTGTTTAATGTGGTACCTGAACTTTAACCCAATATGCAATATGGTCCTTAAACTTTTAATTTGTTTAATGTGATCTCTAGATTATTGATACATGTTCAATGCAGTCCTTGAATTACATGAAAATGTTCAAGATCAGGGACAAGATCAAACATATTCATATAATCCACTGACTAAATTGAACGTATACCACATTGAACAAATTAAAAATTCAGGTGCACATTGAGTTAAAGTTCTAGGATAACATTGAATCAATTAAAAGTTAAGAAACCACATTGCATATTGGATCAAAGTTCATGGGCTATTTGTATTATTTTCCTTAATTAATATAAAATTACTTAAATATGCAAATTCCAAACAAAAAAAAAATTTAAATTCCACACCCAGCTTTGATGGATCATAACTTTTGGGATAACTTTTAATTTGGGTGGAATTATGAGGTGCAATTCAAAACGCCCATTCAAAGCCGGTCGCCTAGGGCCAAAAGCGAAAGGTATCAAAAGAGGCTAATTTCAGCCTAAAAAATTCCACTTTTTTACGTGTTTCCGGCCATTTTTTGAATTAGCACTAATTTTTTTTCGTTATTTCGATAGTTCAATTCATTGGTAACTTCAATTGAAAAACTAAATATTTTTCTTCATTAGAATGAAAAAATATCATACATTATTCACATTTATTTTATTACGGATATTAAAATAAAGATATAATTGAATAGTTGGGGCCATTCCAGAACTAATTCTAACCTGACCGAAGCGGAAGCGTAAGGCCTGCCCAAAGATTGGACTGGTCATTCAACACTTTTGGAATATTCACTAATTTTCATTAAGTGGTATGGATTTTGTCCCAAATGTATAATGGTAGGCACAATCTATTCATACGCAGTGGTCTTGAGAAGATAAACACAACTCTCACTCGAAAAAAATTCTAAAAGTACCTTAATTTTCGTACGACACTTACTTCAGTATCAAAACTTTTCGAGCGATTGCTGTTGTGCCAATTTGGTAAAAATTTGATCGCTTTAAATGTCATCAATGATATGAGTGACCAAGAAAATCCAACGTGATATTATTTTATTATTAATCGCTCTACGTGGCTCGTCGGAAAAATCCAATCAGCAAAAGCCATAAGAAACAACGCCGTTTTGGCCTAATCGGTTAAAAAGAACTGAGCAAGGCTTCCCAAAAAAATCGCCCATTCACAACATCAAATAAAAAATTGCTAAGCCCAAAAATTCCAATCGGCAATAAAAGCGGCCAAACTTAAAAAGGGTATCTGAATAAAGGTTGAATCAAACCAAACAAATAAAGATACCTGAAACATACAGATGGTAACACATTTTTCTGCACCCAATCTCATTTTCCATAAATCAAAAACAAAACAAATCAAAATTTTCGATTTCCTCTCGTTGTTTTCGGCGATGGAAGAAGCACTTTCCACTGCAAATTGCCGGCTCGTGAGCACGGAAAAACGCGGTCAAATCGATTCATAAGCACAAACAAAGCAGCAGCAAAAAAGCGAAATGAAACTCGCCAGCACTTCCAGTGAGATCTTGGGTGAGGTCGAGCCTCACCAGCTTATGGCGAGGGTCACCCTTGCCGAAGGCTAACGAGGGCGAGACTCTTCAGGCGAGAGGGGGGGACCTCGCCAGATCCCGGTGAGGCCAACCCTCGCTGGCCTCCAGCAAGGTTCGAACTTTGTCGGATTTTGGCAAAGGCGAGCTGTGCTCGAAGCTGGCGAGACTAACCCTCACCGATTGTAGCCTCCGGCTGATCGTTGGAGGCCGAGCGACCGGTAGAGGAAGAGGAGGGAAAAGAAAAGAAAAGAAAAGAAAAGAGTTACCCAAAGACAGAAGTGTCGGAATTCATGTTAATAAAATCACGACACCAGCCTCTCACCTCAGTCTCCCCCCCCCATCCATCTCCTATTAACCCACCTCTCCCTCTCTAGCGCCGCCCACGAGTAGGAGGAGCTTCCACCCTCACTCTCTCTCCTCTTCCCGCCTGTTATAAAAATGGCGAGTCGAGCCCACTTCGCAAGAATGCTGCCGCACCCCCAATCCCATCACCACCTCTCCCATCGGACCCTCCCTCCTCCGATCATCTTCTTCCCCCCGCCGGTGGTCCCGTCCTCCGTCCCTCGCTCCACCACCCCGAACCTCTCCTTCTCCTCCTTCTCCGCCCTCCGTTCTCCGGCCCCCGGCGCCGCCGCCGCGCTCGGGTCCCGCCCCCGATGGCCGCCTCCGCCGCCGCCCCGTCCGGCGACCGCGCCCCGGGCCCCGAGGGGGAGGAGGGCGGCGAGGAGGAGCTCGGCCGGCTCGCCGAGGTGGCGGGCCGGGCCGCGGACGCCGCCGGGGAGGTGATCCGGAAGTATTTCCGGAAGAAGTTCGAGATCCTCGATAAGGAGGACTTGAGTGAGTTTGTGTGTGTTTTCTTTTTTTTTTTTTATGTTTTTGGGTTGCTGTGGGATTGGTCCTGGTTCCTGGTTTTCGGTTCTTTTTGGGTGGTGATTTGTGTTCTCGATTTCGGCGTAGGTCCGGTGACGATCGCGGATCAAGCGGCTGAGGAGGCCATGGTCTCGATTATACTGGGGAGCTTCCCTGCTCATGCAATGTATGTGAAGTACATGAACCGAAGGCTCGGAAGTAGTGATGATGCCGTAGTGGTGTTTCGTTTGGCTTTCTTGAAGTATCGAATTGGGTTTTGAAGTGCAGGGCGAAGAATGGGTTTTGATTTTGATTATCGATTGACCGTCTGTGGGGAAATGTATGATTAGAATAGGAGCGGGAGAGTGAGATATCAGCAGTACCTTTGATGCCCCTAGTTTTGTAATTGCAGCTATGGAGAGGAGAAGGGGTGGAGGTGCAAGGAGACATCTGCAGATTATGTCTGGGTTCTGGATCCCATAGATGGGACAAAGAGCTTTATAACTGGTATTTTTCGCCTCTTCGTGTATCTGCCTTTTTTTTATTTTGTTATGTGGTAAAACCCATCTCGAGTGACTCAAAACTCTTATTTGTTTCAGGAAAGCCTTTATTTGGTACTCTGATTGCTCTTCTACATAAGGGTAAACCGGTGAGAACTCGGCAGACTTTGTCGAGTTTTATGTCCGAACATGTCTTGCCATTAGAAAAATACTGTTCTTGGGGACGTAAAGTGAACAATGCTTGCCTGAGCTTTACGTTAAAGCTTTATAGCAATACTATCAGTGTGTCTGATTATGATGATTATGACTTCCTCAGATTCTTGGCATAATTGATCAACCGGTTTTAAAAGAAAGATGGGTTGGGATATCGGGAAAGAGAACTACACTAAATGGAGAAGAACTGTCGACACGTGCATGCACAGAATTATCCCAGGCATATCTGTACGCTTTTGTGTATTGTTTGTGTAACCCATATGAGTTGGGCTTCGATTATGCAAAAGAAAGTTGACAAGCATCTGCAGATGAATCTTTCAATTGATGTATCTATTATCTGTTTTCACGTTATACTTTCTCAGATACACAACAAGTCCACATCTCTTCAGGAAAGAGGCTGAAGAAGCGTTTGCTCGTGTTAGAAGTAAGGTTGGTTTACACAATTTTTTAGCTGTACTTTTGCATATTTTTAGGTACGCTTAGCCAGCTGATCGCAAACTCGTGGTGATTGAAGAGAATCGATACTTTGGGAAAGTTCTGATTTTTCTTTTCCCTCTTTTTTAGAATTGCCCATTACTTTCCGCTCATAATCCTGCATTTCTTTTATTTGATGAATTTATAATATGGGCCATTCAATTATAATATGTCAACTTTCTGCAGGTAAAAGTGCCATTATATGGCTGTGATTGCTATGCTTATGCTCTTTTGGCTTCTGGCTTCGTGGATCTTGTCATTGAGTCTGGTCTAAAGGTACAGTGTGCAGTTTTTTTAATGCATATGACGATTCACGTTATGTGAAACTGCTGAGCAATGAAGCATCTGTGTCCCATTAGAGGACTTCAATGATTATCCACTTCCTGGTTTTGCGCCTTGAGTAGTTTCATCTTTCATATCACGCAAAATAATTAAGCTCTTAAAGAATTTTCAGACCCGCTGAGTAGTTAAATTTTTCTTTTTCTACCAGCCATACGATTTTCTCGCTCTGATACCTGTGATTGAAGGAGCTGGGGGTATTATAACTGATTGGAAAGGCCACCAACTTTATTGGGAACCTTCTCCGGATTCACTTGCACAAGGTATTATCACCATCTCATCTGTGAGGTTCACTTTAAGTCGGTTTACCTTCATTTATTTGTGTCATGACTTATTTTGAGTTGCTGATGCAATTGACGAACCTCGTTTATAGGTGCATCTTGTGATGCTTTATAATTGTATATATGTGCTTCATGTTTGAAGGACTTCTTTCTTTTCATTTCAGGTTTTAATGTTGTAGCAGCAGGAGACAAACAAGTTCACCAGCAAGCTCTCGAATCATTACTGTGGCAGTAAGATTTTGGATTCGGAACAATTGATTTACCATAGAACTGGTAATCCTTTGGTTCTAATGCTCGGTACTCTGGTAATTTTTTGCAAAACCATCACAACCTTGTGAATCTCGATGAACTGGTGTAGGGTTAGAAGGTTAGAGAAAGGTGATTTATAGAGACTGCCATTATGCTAAAAGATAGCTATCGCGGTGAAAAATTTGAGTGACGGATAACTATGCTGCAGGTTGCAGCCTAAGTTCCTATGCTTAAAATGTATCAGTCTCTCATTGAAATGGATGTTTGGGAGCAATATCTAAGGAAACGTTAGACACCCGATGTTGGACCTGAGCAAGTTCTTAAAAGGCGCGAGGGGAGATAGGGGATGGAACTCCCCGGTATGGTATAGGGAAATTCTAAGTTAAAAGCCTGAAGTAACATTTAGTTCTGGGTGGAAAAAGATGTCTATTATGTCAAATCACTATTGAAGTCAAGTTTGACATTTCTATGCATATCACAGGTCATTGTGTCCTCCCATGGTAATAGTTGATGAAATGGGTATGGCTATGACTTCTTCAAATAAAAGAAGAAACGCCTTGAAACTTGAAAGTTACAAATATAGGAAGAGAATGCTAGAATAGAAAGGAGAACACTGTTGTTTCTTGGCAATTAAAGAGTCCACAGTAGTTCATCCGGTTGTAGTGTTGCTTCTTGGCATGCAATTACAGAGTCGGATGTCAAACATTAGCTCATCCGAGAATTAAAGATTTTGTCAGTAGCTTTATGAACCCCCGTACTGTCTTTTTATCCAAAAAGTAAAGTTTAATGCTTCTGTTCTATATAAATCAACTTGGAGGTCCAAAAGTGCAACCGGCAATAGCCGTTTGTCTTGTATTCTTGTATAGTTTAGATGGCTTAAAGTATTTTGTCCGATAGGCATAATGTACGACCGAACGCCGTACTGTTGTACAGTGGAAAAATTGATGTACGGCGATTTTTTCCTCGAACACGACATACTCGTAAGGTTGGGCCTGAGAGAAATCATCATATATCAAAGTACCACAAAAACTTCCTATGCCTTTACAACATAAAGTGGTATGCATTTATAAAATGTCGTATAATATTAACAAATAATGTACTATGATTTTGGCCTTAAATACAATCAAACGTTTTATGCCTACTGAAATTTGTTTTGGAATTGATTAATATATTTTATGCATTCGATGTGGGTCTAATAAAGTAACTTAGGAGAGTGCACATGAATTAACTTAGGTGTTTTAGTGCACATGTGAAACTCTTAACTTCAATTTTGATTCATAATCTTTTTGTTCTTCCATTACATTTGCCTTTGGACCTTATTTTTTATTTAATCTTTTTGTTCATGATTTATATTCTTTATACTTTTCGAAAATTTTAAATTTTAAATTTCAATTTTTCTGTTTTGATTTTTTAATGTCTTTCTTTTCTTTCTTTCTTTTTTTTTTTTTGCTTTTGGTAATTTTTCGTCCGTTGTCTTGAAATTTTCATTTAATATTCCCTTTTTGATCTTTTCGACAAGTTATTTCTTTGGTCGACACTAAACAGGCCCTTAATTTTTTTAATTAGGGCTGACATGGCGCCTAGTTGGACGTTAAGTCAGCGCCTATTACCGGAAAATTAAGTGGATTTCAGTTGAAGAGAATCGATTTAAATATATAAAATAAAGGTGGCATTACGTGATTAAATCAAAGTTTTGCCTCATGGCAAATGATACCTAAGTTTAGTGGCCACCGATGGACCATAACACTCCCAAGATTCCTGCAATCAGATGGGGTGTCGCTGTTGAGGGATTTCCAATTCAGGAATTGGAGGTCACCTGTCTGAATCCTACCGACTACGAGTAAATTGCTATGGAGAAAAGCCACTTGCATAAGCTAAAAGCTTGAGGTTAATAGGTTTGTAAGCTTGCACGATATTTGATGGGTTTCCAGTAAGTGGCTATTACGCGATAGGAAGCAAGAGATCCATCATTCAGTGATTCGCCCATTCATGGTTCAGACAGTTCTAGGCAAGAAAAAACCAAATGCTTCGCGCAACGAAAAGTAGGGTTTTGGCTCCTGATGGTTAATCTAAAACAATTGCATCCGCTGATAACGTGAGATCATATAATTAACGATCGCGACGGATTTGATACATGGGAACTCGGGTCCAAGCAAGAATTTTGTCCATGGAGATTGAAAGTAAAGAAAGGAAGGGTGAAACATTCAGAGGGCTTTTAATGTACAAGCCCTCTTACCCACACATTACCAAATGATGTCCCTATGCGATCCCATGAATTATGTCATAAAACATTAACTTTTACACTACATAAAACTTCGTAATGAATTTGACATCGATCGGATGGCGAGAACTCAAGAAAGTGACCACAATTCGCCACTTCACCGACATGATTGAATGGAAAAATGCATGCTCTTCTATAGTATCCCTAGATAAATGCAAATTCTATTTTAGTAACCTTTCCAACCAGATAAAATGATCTGACCAAAAAAAAGAAAAAAACCAGATAAAATGCAGTTCAAGGTCGACACTTTGTCGAGGAAGAACCGCTAATTTTGCCCGCAACAATAGGAGAGTTGGAGGGCTAAAAGGCAAAGATTCCAACGAGAAAGATACGCTAATTGAGGAGGTTAGAACTTAGAAGATGTACATGTGAAATTGGATCCATCTCTCTCCATCCTCTTACGCAAAAATTGCGGGTGATTAGAGAGGCCTCAGAACAAAACGACCCTCATAAATAGGACTGCCTGTGATCACTCAAGCTCCGTGAATTGCGTGCACTCTCATCCTCATTTTGTTGATGTAACCTACTGACATATATCTACCTATCAGCTCCTGCTTCTTCTCAGATTTTCTCTCTGAAATCCTCGGAAAGAAGCGACTTCCCTCCGCTTCGGTTCTGTCCCTTCTTCCGCCTACGATAGATCCGATATGGAAAATCAAACGGACGAGGCGAGGATGTTCGACATGCGCATGTTGAAGACCAACCTTCCAAAGAAGTAAGAACTATGACCAATGGATCGTGTTATTGTTCGGTGTTACGATGAGTTTGAACCTAGCATTTTACTGGGACGAATGTCTCTCTTAATGGTTTCGGGTTTCTCTTTTCTCCTGCAGAAGAGGGTTGTCGAGGTATTACTCGGGAAAGTCGAGGTCGTTCGCATGCATGGCCGATGTGCGGTGCCTCGAAGATCTCAAGAAACAAGAACACCCGGACGCCAAGAAAAGGAAATACTTGGAGAGGAAAGAAGCACCATTTCCTCCATACCCATGTCGAAGTGCATCATCTAGCAGCACCCAATGCCTTAGTAGCTGCATCGGCGTGTAGATGCCATGATTATTTGAGGCATCTCTCTCTCTCTCTCTCTCTCTCTCTGTATTTACTCATTCATGCTGTACATAAACCAAATTTTGAATGGATTGGTGACAAAAAATTGGACCAAGACAGAAAGTGGATCTGGACAGATTTCTTCAGAAAGTCCAGATTATCATACCTCGCTCCACATAGATCGTTATCAGAAGCTTGAAATCGACCAAAAATTTCCATGAGCTTTCAGAAAAGCAGAGCACACTGGCAAACTTCTGTCTACGTCGATCTGTTACGCACATTCTTTTTTCGAGCTTTACGAGCGCACTCTAAATTTCAAAGCACGCACAATAACAATCCTTCACAAACCCGAGAGATTTCAGAAATTGGATATGAAGCTGCCAGTTACATGTACAGAGGATCATAAGTAAAATGAGGGTCACGCTTTGTTAATTCACGCATTACAAGTCGAGTTAGTTCTGCACGTTTCTGGTGCAAAAATGAGGGCTGCTTCTCACATCTAGATCAAGTACACGGCTTGACAATTGGCTACGTCTAACTCAAGCGATTGACTACAGATTATATGGGACATCAACAACTACGCGCCAAAAGAATATCGTCTCTCAGTCAGTACAAAATTAGGATGCAAGAACTAGTGCAGGTTTCTCTTCTTGCTAGGGTCCGAGTCTCCATCGCAGATGAAAACAACATCGTCGTCGTCATCAAGCTCCTCCACTTTACCGTGGTTGTTAGTTTCGGCAGCAACCCTCGAAGTACCCATGCCATCACTATTCGAAATCTCGGCCAGCTTTCTTTTCTTGTCAGCAGGAATCTCAATATCCGCAGGAACAATCTCTACGTCTTCATTTGTTTCAGCTTGCTCCGCACTTGTAGGCATGTTCTTAGATGTGCCAACACCGTTGCCTACATGGTTCTCATCTTTCTTCTCGACTGCAGGAGCTTGGGTCCAGCCAGAGAGAACCATTCCATCAGGTTCCTTCTCCTCATCAAATTCCTCCCTGTTAAGATCCAATTGCAGAAGTCAATTACAGGGTGATGTGATCTCTCGTAAGTCTAGCCACACAGAGAAAAGGTCGGTTATAAAGGGCATGAAATGGATACACTCTAACTCAGCAATATGTCACGATGGACCAAAGACTGCCTACTTTTGAAGTGATTTTGGAACCATATGACAAGTATGCAAATTAAAGTCATGCTCCTTCAGAGTAGATAAAACAATTTAACTTCTTTCAAATCTTACACAAACTGCACCAATATCATAAAAAAACCAAGATGACCACTTCTTAATGAGGACCTATTGGTAGAAAGGAATGAATATTCAAGGGTCCAGAATGTTTAGAGAAGAAACAAGGAAGTCAAACCACCTGAGGTACTAAAAAGGCTGAAAGTAAAGATGTATTACATCTTTAAGAAAAATCCCACCACCACACATAATCCTGTAGAGAGAGAGAGAGAGATACCTATGTTTGATGTTAATATTACAAGTCAGCTCTTGTTGGAGATCCTCAACTGTAAGGAGAGTCCCACTTGTAACAGGAGACGGAAGCTCTGACAAAACCTGGGATCAGAAATTTGAAGAAAAGAAGCCAAATAAGAGTTTGCATCAATTGCACCCCCAACAAACACTCGAGAATAAGCTTGAAAAACCAAAATGAATCACCTTCTCAAGGTTTGCCGCATAATTTGCAACCATGTCTTCTTCAAGATCATCACCAACTTCATAAAGAAGGGCTGACCCGTGCATGATAAGGGGAAGGTTCATTCCGAGCTTCGCCTTCACAATTTTGTCAACGAAGTCTCTTAAGGTTGATCGATGGGTGTTGATTTCCAGGGACAGCGGTGTCTAGTATCAATCATCTCATGCATCAGCAGAAGACCATAGGACATGCATATAAAAATTCCACCGATAGAATAAAAGCTGTAAACTACCTCAGAACAGACATAGCAGGATTTGTTCGGTTCATATGGTTCCACCGGCATAAGCAACATCTTCTTCGATGGATGCTCCAGACAATAAGTCATCCTGAACAGATCATGATCAAAGTTATAGTAGTTTGAAGGTCAGCTAAATAACTCATATAATACATGTTTTACGTGCATCGACTGATGCATGATAACAGAATAATAGCATCTCTAGAAACTCATGCCTAAAGTTTTTTTTTTTTTGGTTATAAACTCATGCCTAAAGTTAACAAGCAACAAAAATAGAAAAACCAGGCATAAGTAACTTTCTCCTAACCCAAGTTGCTAATGCACAAGTTCTTCCCTAAATACACCAAGTCTCTGCAATTAACAAGAGTGGACACTTCTCAATTAGCAGAGTGGAGGATCACCCCCAATGTTACACCCTATTTACTCTTCGAAGTTCCAACCACTGATCACTTCTCTTTAATGTCAACTATACCCACATGACTGCTGATGTTTGCTCCTTCACATACTTTTCCTGATTCCCAATATGATTTTGGTTACTCCCTGAAGCTGAAGCAGAAATAGTCTGCACCTTAGCCAATTGGATATGGATACTGTCAGGCAGATTAGACAAACAGAAGTGGAAAATTCTAACAGATATAAGAATCCAAAGAACGCATCTAGAGATTGTAAATCCCATACTTCTTTCTCTTTTGAGAGAATGACAGAGCAGCACCAGAAATGATCTGTTTAGGTACTCCCAAAATTTAAAAATGGCCGATACAAACTATGAAGAGAGAGAGAGAGAGAGAGAGAGCTCTGATCCATACCTATAGCTTTTCGCATCCTTCTGCAGCACCTTGATTGCCTCAATCACGATCAATCCAGCTATAATAGCATTTGTCGTAGCAACAGCATGAACAATGTTACCCGCTATACCTTTAGATTCAAAAAGGCTGTGCAGAGGGATACCAAAAGAAGAGGCCCGGATATTCGCAGCAGAAGTAACAAATTCCACGGCCAATTGATCATCTTTATCAAAACTAAGGTTTCCAATGTCCTACCAAATAATTAAGAGAAAAAACAAAAGCTCTTTGTCTTCAGAATGTGCAGAGCAAATTTGTACATTAATCAAAGCAAAACATCTACATAAGCAAGAAGCAAAGTTAATACCTTCTCCCTTTTCCCAAAGAAAAGCTTCAAAGCCTCCAAAAAGATCTTTGAATTTTCCATAAGACTCCATATTTCTTGTGGATTTTTCATGCCCAAAGATGCCATGGCAGAGACTGAAGATGGATTTTCAGTTGCGCTCCCTCTATCCATATTTCCATTCTGCCTAGTCGGTCTTACAGGTAATACATCCTTACTATAAATCGGCCTCGGCATATTGCGGTTTTTCCATGTCTCTTCATTAGACAAGGCCACTTCAATATTATAACCAAATACGTGGTCGTATATTCTCCTTCCATAGTCCTCAATGTCTTCATCTGTCCTGCGCTCAAAAACATCCTCTGTATGGTCTGAAGTGCTAGCATTACCAGAACGCACATTCAAGTCATTGTCTTGTGCTTTGTCTCCAAATAACTTCGCAAACAGTAGGTCTTTCGCCCATACAATGCAGTGAACAAACTGCCCATCAAGAAAATATAACAAACGTAATGAATTATTCGAGGTCAAATAGAACAAATATGATTAATTTTATATAGTGTGATACTAGGGTTTCTCTCAATAATCTAGGTAGATGCAGCCAATTAACAACAATAACCTGACACAGCCTTGAAATACACTTATTATTATGATGGAACTAAACTGAAAACAGCATATCAATTAATTTATCAAAACAGATGATAGTACATATTTCCATAAAAATTGTAATTCAAAACGTCCCACACAATATTGAGTAAATCATTACAAATTGCAAAATAATCCATATTCCAAATGCCTGATGCATAATCCGCACAATTATTCAATTTAATTCCCACAAATAGCTCACATAACCCATATCACGCTATATGAAGGCAGAGGTGAACAAGGAGAAGAAAAATAATGCAAGCAATGTGTTAATCTAAGCAAGTACCTTTGAAGGCGTACTGGTGATTGTGCATACAGGGTATGATTTTGGGGCAGGTTTTGGCTGGCACTCATAGCACTCTGTTTTTCCCTTCAGGTGTATCGTTACCTGGTTATACATGTGTTTAAGCAAAATCAGCCGTAATTGCAAATTAACAGAATATATTAAGTGATAGAGGATGCTAACAGAGGATAATTCAGAACTTTTCTAATCACAAATCATCGGCAAGTCCCGTAAGCTTTCACGTCATAATTCCAAATGATTATCAACACATCACCAGCAAAGACTCCAAGCTTTTATATTATTCCAATCAAATAATCATTGTTTACTCCTTTGAACAAACATTTAACTTCTAACCTTTTGACCTATTAAATGTTATAATATCTTCACAAAGCATAAGTTCAACAATTTTATAGTTAACAATGCAAGATCATGGAACCATAAAATTTGGTTTTCTCAGTCAGTCTCTTATCTCTGGACATGATTATTCCCAGGCAATGTCTGAGCAGTGAACAAAATTTAGGAAGGTCAAATAGATTATGAATACTACTTTTTCCAAATAGATAATTAATACTAGTTTTTCCATATTAATTCATACATCAATTTTTCCAAATTATATGAACTATGCCCTCTCTAATTGTACTCAATTCATATACAGATGAACTCTTTAAATTGAGCCACAGCCAGCTTAAACTGTGAAAGGTGTCCTAGTGCTGGGACAGCACTTCAAAAACAAATGTAATACACATACCATTTTATGACTAGAGGCTTCATTTGCCCCTTTAAAGCACTAATTATCATTCCATAATAACTTTACGACAACAATTATTAAGGTTTACAACATAAGGCCATGTTCGGTTCAACAGCATTAAATGTTGCAGGATGAAAAATTTCCACCAGGCCATCAAATAGGGTATTTTATCTTAATATTATCGTTGGAAAGGTAATGAGATGATCTCTATTCATCCAAGAGATCAGTTGACAATTCTTGGCATAGATCACAACATCAAAAGTTATGGAGAGTGATAGCTGGAAATCATACAGCAGTTTACAAAGAATAGATATATTCAATAACAAACAAATGAAACAGCTACAAGTAGTTCATCAAAGAAATAGAAAAGGTCATGCAAGATTGACACTGTGGCAATAAGGCAGAGGAGCGCATGAAATG